ATGGGCAGATATGTTGACAGATGTCTTTCTCATCAGAATATATGGTCTGAACAGCTATTCCCAAGAGTTTGCTTTTGTCAACAGTTTTAACTTTCCTCCCTCAGAACAGCTCAACTTGCAATCTTAATTCTTCTCTTCTGATGAGTTGTTTCCAGCCCAGATTAAACTGACAGCCTCTGGCATGAGGGCTGCTGAAACCCCCTCAGAACTCTCATACAGGGACAAAAATCTGGTTACAAGGTGGGGTTGTGAGGAGACACTGTGGTTCTGCTTTCGCAGAGAGAAGATATCAATTTCATGCTATTGTTTGACAAATTTTTCCAGACGTAACTGAATAGCAATGTTAATGTTTTTTGTGGGTTTCATGCACTAAAGTTTATGAAGGCCTTCTCCCTCTGAGCAATGAACCCTTTTTCAACCAACAAACCAAAATACAGAAGGTGGACAGACTCACAACTGGAAGTGCCATTTCCAGATTGAGCGGTCTTGAAATCTGTACAAAATAAAATTTAAAAATCCACATTACATAAAGTCCTTTAAAATTGTCCAGTATTTATAAACCATGATCACTAAAGCAATAGGATTTTATCAGTGTTGGATACATTAAAAATCAGTATAGTCATTTAAATGCATACAACCGTGTTTGATTACTTCATGGCAACAAACTAAGGTCTATGTTATCCACTTGCTTGCTCTTACCTACTCAGTGTAGCCCTTGAGTAATCCCAGTGGATACTATTTAACTTAAAAATAGTATTCAGCCATATAATTTCTCTGCTGGCAGTGGAGCACCCAGTGCCACACTTTGCCCTACATGTTCCTTTAACTTAACTTTTGGTGTTTAGGGTGCTGTAAATAGCATTTGTTAATGTTCCAGCATAGAATAAATGATCTCTAGTGATAGAATAAGGCATGTAATATCTGCCAGGGTCTTTGCTGGTACATAGGCTTCTACCTGCTGTAGGTGTGCAACTGAGTCTTTAAATCACTTTGATCTTTTCTTACCTTAAAAGGTAATCAGCAGTATCCAAAAGCATTATTACATTTTTGCTTAGTGTATTTTAATTATTACTGGTTTCAAACGTTTAGCCCATTATCAGTACTATAGCAAGCTTTCTATTTCTTGGTTATTTCAGATCTTGTTGTTGTAGTTCAGAGCTTGTGAGCCATTATTGCCAGCCTGCTTTCTGACTTACACAAGCTCAGTGGAACAGTTGTAATTTTCACATTTCAGGAAAAGATCCTATTGAACTGAAAAATTTTGGTTAATGTGAAAGTTGAGAGAGTGCACTGGATAGGAGTACAGATTGAAATCAAACCTTCTTGAACATACAAATTCAGGATGTGATTCAAACCTGAATTTTACCAATATTTCAGCTGTGTGAATTTGCTGTAAATAATGATGTATTTGCCATGAATTTCACACTGTGTGAACTGGGAATATTTGTGTTTTAATACTAAAGCCAAGTTACACAACCTAACAGAAAAGGTATAATTAAGATTATGTTCATACAAAATTTATCACTTTGTAGTGCAACCCTGTCAACTGGGGTTTCATGAATGTGATTGCAACAAATTTTGATGCTTTTTTTGAATGATCTGAATTATTTTTATGGTAACGATTATTCCAGTTCACAATGTAATGACTTGATGACATGTGTTTCCTGGTTCGCATCCTGCAGGATATGATGATTCTTCCTTAGATAACAATTTTCAAATATTTATTTTGTAACACTATGCTATGGTATTAAAGAAGGAAAAGAGAAATTGTTTGGCTTGTAGGAGTGAAAGAAATTGTTTGCTCTAACAGTTTCAGCTGAACTGTTTGACTACCTTGCCAAAAATTTGTCCTCATCGATGGTTTCTTCTCTCAGTTCTGCTTTTGTTCATATCATGTATATATTGCCGTATGTAGATTTCAATTTACAGCTAGAGAAAAACAGAAATTCAATAGCACCTTGGTTTAAAAGAATGTGTAGTTTATTTGTTTGAATTAAGCCCAGGAGAAACAGCATGCCAATAGCATTAATGTACCTTGGCACTTGGAGGCCATTTGAAAGAAGGTGAAGCTACTTTATGAAATTATAGCTTGTTTATGGAAATGTAAACAACATGATTGAAGATACAACATCAACTATGGAGAAGCAATAATATTCATTACTGAGCAGAATGAAAACACAACCACTCCATCAGGCTTCCAATGTCTCTTGCAGTCTTTTGCTAGTATTAGCATTGCTGTATTCCCTTATTATCATCCTAAATGTCTGTCATTGCCCACAGACTGCAACATTCTTCTGTAGCTGTTTTATGCTCATATTATGCTGTGATACAGTCTCAATAGTACTTTTAAAATTCCTTTCTTTTATACCATTTTCAGAATGGGATTGTCTACTACTTCATATCTTCCTATATTTTCTTAAAATGAAGTGAATAAACCAGAAAATTTCCCCTTCCCGAGAGTTCTGGGGATCTATTTTTGTGTGCTTTGTTTGGCTGTACAAATCAGCTGCCTCTTAATCTAGTGCTGGAAAATGATTATCAGGTTACCTTTAATTTTGGTTGGTGCATTTCTGCCAGGCAGTAGCAATAATCACTGTAATAGTGTTGCTTTCCAAACTTTACTGGGTTTACTTCTACTCTCAAAGGCAGCACATTGCCAGAAGAGTTAAATACTTTGCATTGCAGTGTTACGTATGAGTAAGGGCATTTAATTGTTTATTTTAGGCTTGGTCATTAATTTTGTCCAGGCTTTCTGCACTTAATACAAACTTTTTCTGCAAGAAAAGCAATTCTAGAGGGTCAATTCAGGCTGCATGTTAAAATTAGTACTAGTGATGGGATGAATGTGCTATAAAATTCTGCTTGCAAAGCTGCCTGGTTTTCTTCAAGGCAAGCATGAAACATGAACATTATATTCTCAGGTCATCATCACAGAAAAATATGTTTTCCTAAATCCTCTTGCACTTTTGGATCACACAACATTAAATACTGCCCTGTATCTTTCTTTGATTTTCTTATTCAGAAAGGGTGGAGCATTTCTGCATGCTTTGCCATTCAAACATTCCTGGTGGTTCTATTTTCAACTCAAAATTTTTGAATTAGTAACAGATGTGCTGATTCTTCTGACTGAAACAGTGGGCAAATTTTTCTCTATATTTTGAAGAAAGTATTTTAAACTTTTGCTGGTGCTTTAACCCTGAGTCCTATATGTTTTACCAGCCTTCACTGTAAACAGTATCTTGCACCACAAAAATCTCACTGCAGTTAGTGGGAACTTATCCTGATATTATAGGTATGATAAGGTGCAACATAACATATCTAGCATGACTTTGAAATGCTGCTTATGGAGCTAGACTCCAACAAAGGATAACATCCCAGTATTGCATACCCGTTTAGGTATGTTTTGGTAATGTATCACCTCCACTTACACCAAAATTGCAAAGCAGGTAACTTGGAAAATAATTGGCATACATGCATACAAATGTCATTGGTAATGCTCTTCTATTCACGTAAAACATGTAGAAAACACTTGTGCAGCAGAAATCCTAGAAGGCTTTATAGGTCTTGTTCACAATGGATTTGGGTGTCTTGATAGCCCTGAAGCAGGAAGGCAGACTTGAAAGCAGGACAAAAGAAAGATTCTAGGGGCAAAAAAAGCCAGAGAATCAAATTCCAATTTAAGGAATAGTATCTGAAGGGGACCTACAAGGGAGCCGGAGAGGGACTCTTTGTTAGGAACTGCAATGATAGGACAAGGGGTAATGGGTTCAAACTGAAGGAGAGAAAGTCTAGGGCAGATGTGAAAAAAAAGTTTTTTACTCTAAGGGTGGTGAGACATTGGAACAGGTTGCCCAGGGAGGCTGGGACTGTCCCAACCCTGGTGGGCTTCAAGGCCAGGCTGGATGAAGCCTTGTGCAACCTGATCTAGTGAGGAGGTGTCCCTGCCCATGGCAGGAAGGGTTGGGACTAGATGACCTTTAAGGTCCATTCCAACCCTTAAATTCTATAATAATATGATTCTATGAATATATCTTTTTTTGAGGTTTAAGTTGCAACTCTGAGGCTGAATTAGAGGTGGAGCTATTTTGCATTTTTCACACAGTTTGAGTGTGACAGTTCTCCCCCTTTCTACTCCTGAACTATCTTCATTACTGTGATTTATTTAAGTGTAAGTTACATCCTCTCTACTTGCTTCTTTATTGGCATGTAGGTACCTGTGATAACACAAATGTGGCATGATCTTTCACTCTCCTTAAGCCCTTGAATTTTTTTATTAATGATAATACAGATATATGATATCTTATGTGGATCTCTAGATCATCTAGCAGTAAGAAGCGATAAATAATGCAGACTGTAATACTTTTCTGTAGTGATTTTTAAAAGTATATGATGACTACATAGGTCTTGATGTTCTGGTGCATGAAAGGGAACAAACACCATGTTGGAAATATAAAAAGGCAGGAACAAACCATTTTTCTAGGTTGAATTCCTGCTTTGCTTAAAAAGGAATGAAAAGCAGTCACTAATACATAATTAAAAGAAGCCTGAATGTTTTTCTTCCAAGAATACTGAAAATATTCAAGGTGTGTTTAGGGTCCAGTGTGAAACAATGAAAGAAATACAGAAACAAATTGCATTTTGTTGTTGTGAAAATAACTCTGGCTCACACTTTAAAATATTTCACATCTTTTAAATTTTCAAACTTTAGTTTTACTTACGAACATTTTAAGTTGCCTTGAGAAATTATATACCTCAAGCATTCAGTCTTTAGAGAAGTGAAGTGAAACAAAATTGATTTGTCAGAGAATAGAAATCTTTTGTCAAAAAATGTTTTCCCATTGATGGAAAACTGAACTTAGTTTTCTCTGCACTTTAAAGGCCCTCAGGCTGACTTGCTGTATTTGCCTAAATAGGATTTAATTAAGTGCACATGTGGTTTTTGATGACTCTGAACTAGTTCCCTTTTTTTTTTTTATTTTCACCTGGGTGCAGGAGGAAAGATGTCACTTGGATGTGAGGAAGCTTTTGAAATTTTCAAGCAGGACCATGCTGACAGTATTATAACCATTGAGGGCAACAAACAGCTGCTGAAACAGAGGTGAGTGTCATAGCAAAATACAGCTGAGTGTTCATTATGAGTATGGTTAGGAACATGTAATTTTACACCAGATATCCCAAGCCTTAAGAATTTGATACAGAAACTTGGCCTCTTCTTACTTAGGATATTTCATATTCTGAAGGCACTGAATGGTGAATGAATGGAAGTCTGGATAGAATATGAAAGTGGCATAAGTAATAGTGTACATTTCCACTGGTTTTATTCATCTTCATAACCATGTTGAAGCAACGTGGCAATGGCATTCACTGTCAGGAATTATCTGGAGGAAGTAAGATCCATGTGACTGAATGAATTACTGCAATTTCCACTGTCAAAAATGCTCTACTGGCTTCAGCACTGAGTTGGACAGTAAGCTAGGAGATGTTTAGCATATGCTTCTGTCTGTTGTTCCTAACTTGTTTGCCAAGTGATTTTAGCTTCTCTCGGCCAGTTTTGCATTGACAAACAGAAATAATACTTTACTCCTACACATTTGTTGTTAATGCTGGCAAAACGCATCAAAATCTTCTGGTGAAGGTGGTGAGAATGGCAAAACATTGGAAACATGAATTTTCATACAGCAGATTTACAACATCTTGCAAATTAAACCACCAACACTTGTCCATGTTGATTGCATAACAGTACTGTTTCAGTGTCAGTTTTTCAAGTGTTAACACTCCTTGTACTGTGAAACAGGGTCTGAGATTGGCAATGTCAAAGGCATATCCCAATCTACCCCTGTAACTAACATTTCCCCTAACAATTGCTTGGGGTTTTGTTTGTTATTTTTCTGTGGGGTTTGGGGTTTTTTAGGGGATTGGATTTGGTTTTTTGTCCTGGGTTTTTTTCTTCTCTGGATTTCTTCTGCTTTCTGGTGCAATTTTCTCACTTAATAGGCATGAAAGATGTTGTTTTCAGGGTCACTGAATCTTATACTCATTTAGTACAATGAAATTGAGGTAAGAAATGATCTCCACATCTCTGTGACTTATTCAAGTTCTTGCTATTTGTCGCTTTTCTGAACTGGTTAACTTTCTACCTGGACCTATAACTCAGCCACAGGAATGCTAATTGCAATGTATTAGATGTATGTAAGAATTTATTCACTTAGACTGGATGTTTAATAAAGCCTTTCTTGTCAGAAGAAAGGCTTTGTTATATACCAGATATATATCAGATGATGCCACATCACAGCATCATCACTGCATAAATGATAATACTGCGGTATTGATAATCATTTCTGGCTGTGCTGTCTGTTGAGCAGAACCCTTCAAGGTCACAGCATGATAATAAGAGCAGCACAGTTCTGAGATATGCCCTGTATTTCCACTAGTTAATTACAATTCTTCCATATTTTTTATGCTTGTTATTACTGTGAAGCAAACCAGTATTTCCTTCTGGTTTCAGAACATATAATAGAGATGGGCAGAATCCACAAAGTTTGATGACAGATTTGTTTTCCTTAAAGGACAAAGAGATTCAGAATAATGTCATGGGTAACCCCTCTCTACTATGCATCATCTGATTGCTGAAATCTGTGCTATTGTGAATGTTGATACTCTGGAGCAAGACAGTTTCCCCCTGCCATTTGCAGTCATTTTTAGCAAAGATGCTTATAGCTCCAAGTTTACCGAGTTCATTAGAATGGATTTACATCAAGTCCAGTCTGTAATTTGGAATGCAGCCTCTGAACTAGCATAAAATATAAGCTCTGTTATCCAGCCAGTATTCAAATTGCAGAGAAAGAAGAGTGTGGACACCACATGTTTAAAGGTTACCATAACTTCCCTTTATACATAGGCCTCTCATGTTAATAATTTTGTTTATAGTTGCATAACCACTTCTGTCATACCACAAACAGTATTTGGTTCACAAATTACTTACTTTTAGCTGCCTTATTTTTTCCTTGGGGTATTTTGGGTAGATTTTCTTGGCTTGCTAATTGTCATAGAGTCATAGAACAGTCTGAGTTGGAAGGAAGCTTTAAAGGTCATCTAGTCCAATCGCCCTGCAATGACCACAGACATCTTCAGCTAAATCAGGTTGCTCAGGGCCCTGTCAAGCCTGATTTCAAATGTTTCCAGGGATAGGGCATCCACCACCTCTCTGGGCAACCTGTTCCAGTGTTTTACCACCCTCATTGTAAAAAATTTCTTCCTTATGTCTATTCTAAATCTACCCTCTTTCAGTTTAAAACCATTCCCCCTTGTCCTATCACAAAAGGCCCTGCTAAAACATTTGTCTCCATCTTTCTTATAATCCCCCTTTAAATACTGAAAGGCTGCAATAAGGTCACCCTGGAACCTTCTCTTCTCCACACTGAACTCCAACTCTCTCAGCCTGCCTTCATAGAAGAGGTGTTCCAGTCATCTGATCATTTTTGTGGCCCTCCTCTGGACCCACTCTAACAGGTCCATGTCTTTCCTGTGCTTCAAAACTGGATGCAGTGCTGTTGAGGAATACATTTAGTGCAAGTAGCTTGGTGTGCACCCGCAGTGTGAGCTGCAGATTGAGCTTTGGGTGACAGGAGCCCAAGACAACAGACCATGAACTGGCACCAACCCTTTATACAACAAAGGGCTTGGGGACCTGTGGCACCATCCAGGTGAATAGACATTTAGAGACCCAGTAGGAGTCAGTGACTCAGGAAGAAGAGCTGAGACTGTCACACTTAGACACTAAGGTATAAAAACCCAGGGTTTCCTTTGTTCAGCATCCTTCCTCAGAAGCACCAGCTTGAGCTGTTAATCTGTTATTGCACCATGATTAAATTATTTTAGGGATCCAGATGTCTGAGACGGTGCTATGGGAAACCTAGGGTCAAGCCAGTAGGGAAACCTTGTCTGACTGTGTGAGTGTGGTGAGTGTAGGGAGTCAAGCAAGGCATCTGCTGACTCACTGGAGCCATCCACTGTGAAGGGACTTTGGTTCTAGCTCAGGTGATGCCAGTATGACTGCCAGAGTGGCTCCTGGATGGTCAGACAGGAAAATTTCCTTAACAAGTACTCCAGGTAGGATCTCACCAGACTGGAGCAGAGGCAAAACCCACCTCCCTTGACCTGCTGGCTTCCCTTCTTTTAATACTTCCCAGGAGACAGTTCACTGCCTGGGCTGCAGGCATACATTGCTGGGTCATGTCTGGCTTTTCATTCACCAGTACCCCCAAGTCCTTCTCCTCAGGGATGCTGTCAATCTCTTCATCCCTGAGCCTGTATTGTTATCAGGCTTTGCCCAACCCAGGTGCAGGATCCTGCATTTGGTCTTGTAGACCTCACGAGGTTCACATGGGCCCACTTGAGCTTGTCTATCCTGTCCGTCAGGTATATCAACTGCACCACTCAGCTTGGTGTTGTATGCAAATGTGTGGAGGGTGCACTTGATCCCAGTGTCTCTGTCATCAAGGAAGATATTAAACAGTACCAGTCTCAGTGTGGACAACACTTGTCAACAATCTCCATCTGGACATTGAGCCATTGACCACTACCCTCTGGATACGACCATCCAACCAATTCATCTATTGAACAGCCCAAGCATTAAATCCATATATCTCCAATTTAAAGAAGATGCGGAGGACTGTGTCAAAAGCCTTACAGAAGTCAAGATAGATGACATCCATAGCTCTTCTCTTGTCCAGTGATATAGTCACTCCATCATAGAAGGCCACTAGGTTGGTCAGGCCAGACTTGCCCTTGTTAAAGCCGTGCTGGCTGTCTTGAATCACCTCCCTGTTTATCATGTGCCTTAGCATAGCTTCTAGGGGGATTTGGTCCCAGGCACAGAGATGAGCCTGGTGGGTTGTAACTCCTGTAGATCCCATAGACTTGTGTACAGGTTCCTCAGGTGGTCATGAACCTGATCTTCTCTTACACTGTGAGGGACTTTGCTCCTCCAGTCCCTGTCTTGCAGTCCATCCACTCAAGAGGTATGAGAAGAGAGATTGCCAGTGAAGACTGAAGCAAAAATGTTGTCAAGTAACTCAGACTTCTCCTCATCTCTTGTTACCAGTTTGCCAATCTTGCTCATCAGGGAGGGAGACAGTTTCTTTGAGCTTCCTTTTCTGGCTGACATACCTATAGAAGTCCTTCTTATCCGTTCCAGCTCTTGCCAAGTTGAGCTCCAGCTGCACTTTGGCCTTCCTGACCCCGACCCTACACAACTGGGAAGCATCACTGTACTCTCCCCAGGATACCCATCCTTGCTTCCACTACCTATGCATATCCTTCTTACCCTTTAGTTTGACCAGCAGGTCTTAACTCAGCCATGCTGGTCTCTTGCTTTCCTTACCTGATTTCTTGCTCCTGCGGTCTGAGAGTTCTTGTGCTTTATGGAAAGCATTCTAAAAGCTCTACCAACTCAGTTCTTCTCCTTTGTTCCTGAAGACAATTTCCTGGGGGATCCTTTTGACTAACTCCTCGAAGAGCTGGAAGTATCCTTTCCTAAATTCCACGGGTCTAACTTTACTCTTTGCCTGACCCATATCCCTGGGTCTAACTTTACTCTTTGCCCGACCCATATCCCTCAGGACTGTGAACAGCACCAATGCATGATCACTGCAGCCCAGGCTGTTTCCAATCTTGACATCCCGAATTAGCTCACTTACATTGGTGACCAATAGGTCCAGTATTGCATCCCCTCTGGCAGGGCTGTTTATTACCTTGCTTAAGAAGTTATCCTCAATGCATTCCAGGAGTCTCTTGGCTTACCTGCAGCTTGCTGTCATGCTTTTTCAGCAGATGCTGGCATGTTTGAAGTCCTCCAGCAGGACAAGAGCCTGTGAGTGTGATGCCTCTTCTAGCTGGAGCAAGAAAGCTTCATCAGTAGGCTGCCCTTGATCAGATGAACTATAGTAGATACCAACTACTAGGTTCTCCTTGTTGCCTCGGTCTCTGATTCTTACCCATCAGCTATCAACCTGCTCATGACTGTTCTTCAGAGTCAGTTCTTCACACTCAATCCTCCTCTTGATATAGAGAGCAACCCCTCCTCCTCTCTTGTCCCTTCTGGCAACCTGTAGCCATCAATAGCCATACTCTAGTCAAGCTTCAATAATGGCAACTAGATTATAACTTTCTATCAGTAGAGTAGCTTCCAGCTTCTGTTTGTTGCCCATGCTGAGTGCATTGATGTACAGGCACCTCAACTGGACTGTTGGCCATGTCACCTTCTTAGAGGAACTTTTCATTTTTTCATTTTTCTTCTGTATGTTAATAACTGCTTCCCTGCTCAAAACAAAGCGCACACATACAAAAAAAAAACCACCCCAAAAAAAACCCCAAAAAAACCCACAAACCAAGACAAAGCAAAAAAAAACCCCAACCCTGTGTTTATGCCCAGACAGAATCAGATTTGTGCAATTTGAACTTCCTATACTTGACTTCCAGAGAACTTAATATCCTATTTCTCAATGCATCCATTTTCTCTTAGGATTGTTTCTCTGAGAAGGAGAAAAATGCATCTCATTTTCTGGTGAAATATACTACCAGAAAATCTTCACAGCTGAGCCACTCTAATTAATATTGCATACTGCATGAAGCTTTTAAATCCCATTTTAGTCAATATTTCCAGTAGTTAAATTCTACTGAGCTTACAGATGTGATGTAAATCTAGTTTCCATTTTGTTGTTCTCCATTCATTTTTTCCATTTTCTTATTTCCTTGCTTTCTGTGTTTCAGCTGGTTAGCAGCTAACTTGTTTTTTTCAGTACCTATGGGCAAGTTTCATGGAAAGGATGAGTTTCACTTAGGTCACTTGTTGTAATTTCTAATAATCAAAAATGAGTGAATGTTCATTTAATTCACTGAATGTCTCTGCTCTCTCATTAGAGAGCCTTTGAGTTTGTCTTGGTTTACATTATGAGTTAGACATTTGTTTTTCAAGATGTTTATTTTTTAATTACTGGCATTTGCATTCAAAGAGTGAAATCTTTGCCAGAAACGCTTGTTCCACTGAAATTAGTGACTAAATTCACTTTGGGGTTTCATTGTGGAATATTTATCTTGTAGGTAATAGAAGCCATGATTTGGCAACTTTAGCCTTTCTGTTGCGTGGTCTTCATAGAAAGATATACATGAAGTTTTTCCAGCTAACAATGTAATTGTTCACCCATCACTATTTGTAGCAATATCACCTTAATGCTAGATAATACCACCTTTTTTGTTTTATTATAGGAGTATCAGAAATAGCTTTTCCCCTTTCAATATTAGAGTCAAATCTTATGTCTTTATCTGGTTTATTTTGTTTGAGTATGATTCATAGTCACAGATGGAATTTGTTGGACTGTTGTAAATTAATGCCAAATTTCAGTTTATGTTATTATGCCAGTTTATAAACTGTGGTATTTGAGAAACAGATGCATGACCCGTCCAACTATTGGCAGTAACCTATGAATAAGGGCTGGATAGATATCTGGCTTCAACTTGTCCTCTTTGTGAACATGAATCAGAGTCAGTAGAGAATTGTCTCAGGAATTACTAAGTAATTGATGAACTTACTATTTGGCTTGTGGGACCTGAGGGAATGAAAGAGAGAGGTACTTTGGGATTTCTTCCCTTTGATCTTTGCGCAATCTTCAAGGCCTTCTTGGGGTCTAAGACAACACCAGTAGAAAAAGCTTATAGAAAGTCTCATAGATGCTTCAAAGGCTTTCTTTGTGTAAGAAAAAGTGCTGAGGAACCCTCCAGCTTCAGCAATTTGGCTGTGTTGAATTCAGCCTTGAAACAAATGTTCATGAGCAGATACCAATGTGGACACCTGAAATTCTAACTTGTTCTGGTTTTACAGGAAAGTGGACTAGTTGAGAAAGGGCAATTTTTCAAACCCCAGCTCCCCAGGGGAAAGTCTTTTTTTTTTTTGCCATTATTTGAGACAGAAATAAAATTGTGGATTTCCTCAGTTATTTTGTTTAGACCAAGACTCTTCCAGATCAGCTGAAGTCTTGCTTAATAATTATTACAGTTCTGCGCCTACATTCTGCAAGGTTCAACTTGTACAGATCCAAGTAACAATTCAGAATTTCATGTCAAGCCTAATTCCCTACAACAAATGTCATAATGCAGCAAATCATTCTTTCTACATGTTAAATTATTAATATTTAGACTATTACAGTGGATATTTCTTTGAACAAGCCTCAGTTCTCTGAGACTCCTCAGACTTTGCCATTGAAGTAACCGTATTTTTACAGCAGAATATATTTGGCATTTGAAAACCTGATATGTATGCCATTTGTTCTAAACAGTTTTATTTATATAGTACTGAGTTAAATAGGTGTAGGAGAATAATTATGACAGCAACTACTGTGAAAGATCAGAGAACTGACAGAAAAAAAGAGCACCAAAGGAGTAGGCATCAAGTGCTGGTAGACTGTAGAATATTTAGAGAATATAAATGAATGTGTAAGGCTCTGCAGACAGCTGTTTTTTGAGGATATGACACATTTCCTAAGGAACAAGACATACAATGAGCAGTTGCAAGCTAAAAAAAAAGCTTCTGATTGTTAGAATATTTTACATACCATATGAAGATTTGATTATTTGAACATAATGAGAAAGTGATCAGTGAATTAATTTAGAAACATACCAGGTGGGAATTTCCTACTAATTTCCTGTTTTGATTTGAGGTCAAAATATTTGCATGGTAGAAAAAAGGAGGTTCCAAAGACATTCATTCATTTGCTTCCATCCTTCTCAGCCTGCTTCTTGCTTTCTAGTTGCATATCTTCGTGTGTATTGGTATTTGAGCAGTTGATGAATATCATCTGAAAGTCTCCATTCATGTAATGGCTATCTATAGAAGAACAGCATAATTTAGTTTTGTCACTTTCTAGTAGTTCTGTTTGAGAGGTTTCTTAGTGACTGGGATGTACATTTCCACACAACACAAACAATGATCATCAGCAATGTGCAAATTACAGGCTGAAATTTGAAATGTCCTGGTGAGCAGAAGTTCTAATACTTTCAAACATTTTGTTTCAAATTTGTGTGGGGTTTTTTTCTTCAACTTTTATATTACTGTTTGTTAAAACATTGCAAGAAATAATATTTTAGTGTGATAAGAATATTTAAGATAATCCAATAATTAGAATTGAGATAGCATAATTTTTAAATCTTAAAAATGTCAGATAAATTTGTTCTGTCTGTCTAGTAAACCTATTTGTTGCATGGTTTCTTTCAGAAATTGTTTCTTTTACAGCAATCACTCCTAATAGAATTTTTTTTTTCCACTTAGTTCTACTTACAAATCAAAAAGTAGTAGTGAGTAATTCTGTATTTTATTGTAATCAACTAGTTTAACTAGTTTTCTTTAGAATAATTCTGTATTGTTATGCTTGCATTGACAGGTTTGCTGAAGCTAAATGTGTTGGAGAAAAAATAAATGAAGTGAGAAATAAAATAAGTGAGTACACTTTACCTGTTAGCTGATGAAATCTCAGCATTCAAAAGATATGAGATTCTAGTTTCTAAAAGTGTCAATGATAAGATTTCCAATAAGGTGAAATTTAAGCTGATGGTAGCAATGATAATTTTGTACAAGTTTTGATTATTCCAAATACCACCATGTCAAAACCAGCTCCCTTCTTTACTTGACAGGATGTCAGAAATTTATCAAAAGGAGACGTTAAGATATTAGCATGGGTTTTTTTAATTTAATTTTGGAATCAAAGGATCCAAACCCATCATTTGTAACTGTCATGTCTACAGATTAAGGATTGTATATATCTATAGATCTGTATAGCTTCTGATAAAAAGAGATCTCATTGTTGTGTTACTCCTTTGCACTTCCTTTGTACAGAATAATTAGAACAATGCTGAGAAGTGCCTCAGCTTGGTAGAGGTTTTCATAATTTTTTGGTGTAGGTCTCCAACAGCATATATTTGGCATCCAGTTTCAGATTGTTCAATGCCAAAAATCACTCATAGATACATTCAACCCCAAGCTAGGTCTCATCCTCCTAGCAGCCATTGACATGTTCCCAGGTCTCTTGATTCCAAGGCTGTAGCTTCTTTTCTTAAAATTGGCTACCTAGGCAGTCTGTCTGATGTTAAACACAGTTTTGTCCTCTATCGCTGAAGTCCTTAGAGATCAGGTTCATATTCTCCTATATACACACATTTAGGTGAACCATGTCTCTTCAAGCTTCCAGATACAGGCTGTGAGGGACTGTATAGATAGTCTGGCACCCAGGTCCAGTGGTGTAGACCTTGCTCTCAATTTCTATCTCCTTCCTCTCTGAGTGGCACCAGCACAGATACGGACAATGAAGTCATTACCATCACTTCATATCTGACAACAGTAGTTGGCTTCTGGGAAAGGACAAAAATCTCCTAGCACTGACAAGTGCTCTGTACTTACACCATAGCCATGATTATATTCTGTGGTCATGAATGGTAACTACTGCCAGATTCCCCTCCCAATCACCTTTGGGTACACCACAAGTCCCTCAGAGATATTATACAGTATATTTAAAGTTATGCCAGCTATGCAGAAAGCCTTAACACAATGTTGGCAATGAGTTTCCAAACCACAGCACAAATGATGTTTGGAAAGGATCCAGAAGCAGAGACATTAGGTGCTGAGTCCTGCTGCAGCAGCATTCTGCACAGTGGGTTGTTTCTGTAAGACATGACACTTGAATCCACCTGCCTTCTCTCAGTAGGTTCATTTGTCTCCATCAGACTGGCCAGGACATAAATGTCAGTGCAGAATCTGTGCACAGATATCCACCGATTGACCCATGCAAGTAGAATTTCAGTATCTCCCTTGCAGCTAGGGGTCTCTGCAGAGTCCATATAAGCTAACTTAACTCCTGCCAAGCAGGCTTTTTCCCCTGATAAACTTGGAAAAGCAGGTGCTGTGGAGGACTCTTTTTCCTCTGCTGCCTTCTTGAAGTCCACATTGTCTTACATTCCTTCCATCTCCCAGATTTGCTCATCTCTGTTAAGCCCAAGAGATTTCTTGGCCTAAATGAGGTAGAGCCAAAGTCAGCACTGAGTGTCAAACTTCTTTCTCTTGCTGAAGCTGAAATGCATTTTGGAGCAGAAACAGTGAAAACTAGCAATAAGCAGCTACACACAAGCACAGCCTTCTCAGACTGGGGCTGCTACTGTGCTGCTTGAAGACAGGAGCCTAGCAGGCACCCCATGTACACCTTTTATCTGTTGCAAATGTCTTAGGAGAGGACAAATGTTTGGAGGGCATGGGACACAGTACAAGAAGCAGTGGGAGTCATGTCAGTCCTGAAAGTACCACTCATAGTCTCTCTCATGCTGGGACAAAACTTGTGTGGTCTGTAAGTCCCTTGAGATTTGTAGGAGTCTACTGTGGCAGCTCTCAGGAATAACGTAACAATGCAGTGTCGATGCTGTCTCTCAAGATCTGTTTCCATGGTTTGCAACAAAATCTAAAAGAAATCCTTGGTTTGGACTGAAGCGCCGTGGGTTTTTCCCCAGTAAGTTAGGCAAAACTTCTGATAGTTACAGTGCAGTAGAGCATAGATCTTGCCGTAATTAAAAGCATCTGTTTTAAAACTTGTTTTTTGTTAAGTTCTTCAGTGTTAGAAGTGAAACATTGAAGTATATCTGGAAAACATGAGCAATACAAAAATCTAAGTGCATACTCATATGTATATATAACCTATAAAAACAAACTGATCCCTTGAACAAAACAAGCAGCTGTGTAACAAATCAGTAGTATTGCACTGAACTTGACAATGCTTACATGCCCCCTATAGGAAATTGTAATATCTTGTAGACCACATGAATATTGAAAAGCTCCTTGGAGAATCAAGCTAGAAATGTCTCCAAAGTTCATAGAAAAATTGCACAAAACACCTTTTTGTTTTTTCTTCACATATAAAGTGAAGTTTAAAGTAATTGAAAATTGAAAATTAGTTTCATTACTCTCCTTTTTTTATATTTTGGTAGTAAAATGGAAAAATAGTCCTTCAATTAGATCATACTGTAATCCTACTGTGTAAGCAAGAAATTCCATCCACGTTGTATCTTTTTATAGCTATCCATATCCTGTGCAGATTATGCAGATGTACACTACTTTGTGGATGTCTTTTAAACACTGATGTCTGAGGAATGAGAATAATGATATTGTACAATCCTTTCTTCAATTCCTTCTGTGTGACTTTACACAGCATGAGAAAGTTAGCACTCTGTCTAATACAAATGCTACATTTTATTCATCTGTCCTTTTGTCCCATCCAGCTTTGTTTTGATCATAGTTGTTAATATATCTACCAATAAGCACCTCCTAAAAATTGTTAAATCTTTGCATCCAGTATGACACTTTCTGGCTTATTCAGCTTAGTCAATGCAATTACACTCCTTTATTTAGTTTAGCAGCCTGAAATGATTTTTTGGTTAAGTCTGTTTCATCATAGCATGCATATTAAGAAGACCATTAAAGATGCTAAGTAAGTTTACTAACCTGCCAAATTTTTACTGAAAATGTGGTGGGAGAAATAAGAGTCAGCTGCAGCTGGCAACTAGCTCTTTAATTTACTTTCATTGTTGTTTCAGTTTCTTTATGCATTCCTGGCTTCCTTGTTGTGCACAATCAAGAACAGATCCCATCAATATCAGTTTCTGTTTTTTCTAACCTACTCTTAATAGTATGAAACTATGCACCACAGAGGCCATTGAGCCCATTTCATGCAGTCTGATTATATTTTGAGATAGTGACAGCAGTTAACTGTAACTTTTATGTCATACATACCCTTTCATTCTGACTTTGGAAATACTAATGTTTTGCAGTGAAAAGTGCACAGAATACTCCAACCCCTTCCCAATTATACTAGCATTTCAAAAACATCAGGAAGTTAGGGCTGTAAAAAGAAATTTGCAGTAAGATTTTCATGGTAGGCTTTTGCTGATGTTACTGCTTGCATAAAAATATTAAGGAAAACAATGTCTAGATGTAAGGTGGATTTTCAGTGTAGAGTGACTATAATATCAGGAGTGAGGCATTGTGGCTAGCATGCCTCTTTGCTGCTATACCACATAGTCCTGAATTCTGTCTCCTTTCATGTCTAACAGCATTGCAGAGAATACAGAGATTCAAAAGTGATTTTTTATGGAAAATAATATGTATGTCTTAGAGTTGTCATTATGCTTACTTTTCACAATGACCTCCTAGAAGATGCTGAATTTTATTGGAGGATGAAAATTGTCTTTTTCTGATAATTATTAAAAAAGATAAAAGAAGAATAAGAAGGAAGTGTTTCTAAGACAGGGTCATGTTAGTGACCCAGTTTGATGCATTTTCACACTAACCTCTGTATAGGCAGAAATAAAGGAGCAGAGGGCTTTGGTGCAACTATTGAGGGCCAATTCTTTTTGAAAGTCAATATATTGCATAAATGCACCATAAAAAGGCAGAGAAATGGCATGGATTTTGAACATGTAGAGATATCTGGATTTGAGTGAACTATTCAGAATTGTTTACATATGACTGGAGAATGTACCCAAGGACTAGGCTTTAAAAGAAAACCAACATGAGTGAAACTGGAAAAAAATAACTAAGAGGTCAGGAAATAATGAAAACTCTGTAACCAGCGTAGGAGAAAGGGAAAGTGGGCCAGCAGTGACACAAAGTACATTTTTGCCTTTCCAGTCCAACATTAAGAAATTCAAAAGTGCATGTTTCACTGGGGGGAAAAAAAACAAGAAAAAAACCCAAACAAAAACCACATTTATTTTCTTGGGGGGAAAAAATGCTGTGCCACTGCATGTGTTTTTGTATCATTTTCAAAGAGTTAGGGTCTCTAGCAGGAACTATTGGTCCTTTTGGTATTAATGAAAAAGACTTAGTGAAGGAAATTTGATGCTGAGGCCAAGGATTTTGTTTCAGAATAGTGAAGGTGTAGAATTTCTCCTTGCAAAAACTTGAGTGATTGTGCCTAGCACAATGTGAATGAATCAACCTCAGCTGGCTACTGGGCACCTATCCAGCCACTCTGTCATGTCCCTTCCTCAGCAGAGGAGGGGGAAAAGCAAGAAGAAAAAGCCTATGGGTTGAGATAATGATGAGGAGATCACTTACCAGCCACCATCACAAGTGAAACAGACACAAGTTGGAGAAAATTAGTTCAATTTATTGCCAGTTAAAATAGAGCTGGATGGTGAGAAGCAGGGACAAACTCTCTGAAATCAAAACTTCTCCCTTTATTGGGGTTAGCAGGAGGTTTATTTCAAGGATGCTGCTATCAAAAAAGTGGGTTTACTCTATTGCTGAAAACATTCTGTCTGAAACAACTCTGACAGTAAGGACTGGCCTACATCTGAACAAGCTGCAAAGCACTAAATAACAAAAAAAAAAAAAAAGACCCAACTGCTACTACATTGATCAATGAGTTGGGGGAATCAAAATTACTATTTTCAGAACAT